AGGGGCGGGGGAGGGCGAGCGGGCGGCTGCCGCCACCTGTCGGCCGCGTCGCGACACGCGGCCGCCCGTCGCGACAGCGCCGTCGCCGTGTGCCCGCAGGGATCCTGCACGGCAGCGGGGCGGACTTCGAGTCGGTGGACGAGCTGGTGGAGGCGGTGGGGGAGCTGCTGCGGGAGGTGTCGCGGGACGCCAAGGACGACGGCGCCATCCGGGAGATCTGCCAGCGCCTCTTCAACACCCTGCAGCTGTAAGGGTCGCCCCCGCCCTCGCACCCTCCTCGCCACCCTCCTCCTCACCCTCCTCCTCCTCTCTCGCAGGGACGAGGGCCGGGCCCAGCGCTGCAGCCAGGTGCTGCTGGACACCCCCATCCAGCTCTCCCAGATCACCGATGGATACGGTGAGTGGGGACCCCCAGCCGCGCGTGTCACCCCCGCGGCTCCTGCCCTCTCTCACCAGGGTGCCAGCGGCGGGGACGGGCTCGGGGCGTTGAGTGTGCAGGCGCCTGACCTTGGGGAGCGGTTCCCCCTGCCCACGGGCGCCTCGGGCTCCCCCTCACGGGTGCACACACACACACACCCCCCACACACCCCCACACACACTTCTCTTCCTGGTGCTGAGCCGGGGCCGGCAGCACCTGGCTGCCTGCACGTTAAGCTGGGGTGGTGGGAGAGGAGCCACCCTTCGGTTCCCTCGTCCTGCTGGACAGGGAACGGTCGTGCCTGGTCGTGGGCAGCCGTTACGGCAGCACTTTGTGGAGCCTCCCTGGAGCACCTGCTCACCAACTCAACCCTCTCGTTGCAGCAGATGCCAGCGTGGACCTGCTGCCGGGGCTGTTGCTGAAGAGAGGCCAGACCTCGGTAAGTGGGGGGCCGTGCCCTCGTTTGTAAGCCAGCAGACCCGGTGGGAGCAACTAATGCGTGGGGCTGCAGGTGCCCTGCCCTGCTCCAGTCACCTCGGCCTTGGAGAGTGGCTGGGACAGGCAGCCATCCTGGTTAGGGACAGAGCAAGCTCCTCCTTGTCAGGTTCACTGTAATTTGGGAAACTCTTGACCTTGGTCTGGTAAAGAGGCTCAACAGGAGTTAACGGCTTATTAATTTGACAAGATCTATTTTCCTGTCATTTCTCGATGAACTTCAAAGCGTGGGTGATGCAGTGGTGGTGCTCAGAGCGCCGCTTCTCTGACTTTCACAAGGACCTTTGGATTCCGCAGCAAGGTGTTTGAGAAAATAGGATGTACCGGGATGACATCGTGCCATATTCAATGAGAGAGAAAATCCTGGCTAATGGTTAGATGCTGGAATGTTACAGGTGGGGAGTTAGCAGGGAGCAGCTGTTTTCCAGAGAGCTGCTGCGGGGAGGTCGTAAGCCCAGCTTTAGAAATGGCTGTAGATTGTCATGGTTTGAGAGATAAGAGCAGGAGCAGGGAAGTTGGGAAGCAGTTACGCTCCGTGACCCGAGGAAAATGGGAACGTCTTTACCGACAAAATGTGTGGCTGCTCAGGAGCAACCTGGCTTGCCCTCTGCGTTGGATGTGCCAGAGTTTGAATACAGGTGAGGTGCGGTTGTGCATCTGCAAAGCAAGGATGGCGGTAGCTGTACGGGGTGGGCAGTCACTCTATCAGGCTGGTCTCTTACAGAGCTCTCCTTTTGTGGGGTAATGTGTTGAGGACGAGAACCCCTCGCTTGGAGGCTGAGACCTAACGTGATCCCCATGTGTCTGAATGGGAGTCTTAAGTGAAAGCTGGCAGCTCTTGCTGGTTTTGGCACCAGAGTTGTTGCTGCTGGGTTCACTCTCTGGCTCTCGTGTCCACAACTCAAAAAGGATCTTCAGAAAAATTGGAGACGGTTCAGAGGAGGCCTCGGGAGGCCTCTCAGGTTTTGGAGGACGTGTCTTACTGGGAGATTCAGGGAGCTTGTTATAGTTTACAGAGTGACTCAATCTGTCTGTAGGTACGGGGTCACAGCTCCAGTAACAAGACGCTCTTCAGTCTAACATGCAGGTCTGTAACATGCTTCGGTGGCTGCAGAGTTGCCTAGAAATATCTAGGAGTGTTCTTGGTCAGCCACAAATATTTGACTTGACACAGGAATAAGCTGGAGTGGGCTGAGAGCCTGGCCAAGACCAGAGGCCAGGTTAAAATGCTTGGCTCGTTCTTGCCTTCAGGTTTAATTAAATGCTTTTTGTCTCTGTCGTGATTGATCCACTGCGTAAGCTGAGTTTGTTCCAAACTGGCTAAAGTTTAACGTGTCGGGAAGGGAAACGCCTCATGGTCCAGGGCGAGGGTGGGTGCAGGGTGTAGCGGAGGAGGCACTGGGATAGCAGGTTGCTGCTGATGAAGTGACTTGGCTGGCCCCAGTCCCTGGAACTACAAAAACTGGCTGTGCGTTAGGGTCAGCCAAACCCTTTGCCTTGCTGAGGCAAACTGTTGTGTATGAGCAGTTGATTTAGGATTTCATTCCTGAAGTGACTTCCTGGCCTGATTAGCTTCCTCAAAATGTGCTTGAATCTGTCCCAGTTCCTCTGTCCTACCTCCCTCCTGTCCTCCCTCCCTTCCTTCCAGGCATGAGGCGTTGATTGAGCTCTTTTCTCCTGGTGCTGGGCTTTTGGGGCTTTTGCTGAAGATGCTCTCTCTTCTTTAAACTCTCTGTTTTGTGCCCCAGATGGTGAATGCCAAGAAACTGGAGAAGGCGGAAGCCAGGCTGAAAGCCAAGCAGGACAAGAGGATGGAGCGGGATTCTCTGAAGTCATCTGGCCCTCTGTGAGTATGGAGGGTGCCTCAAAGATCCCCATCCTGTTCTGCTGAGCTTGGCTGGGATCTGGCTGTACCGGAGCTTTCCTGTTGAGCCCCCTTCTCTGTCTTCTGCCTGCCTGCAGGGTTCTTGAGGAGGCATCTGCCAGCCAAGCTGCCAGCAAGAAGGAGACTCGCATGGAGTCATCAGGCAAGAACAAGTCGTATGATGTGCGCATCGAGAACTTCGATGTGTCCTTCGGTGAGCGGTGAGTGCAGGTTGGGAGGTGGGACAGATTCTGACTGAGGTTTTGGACCATGGGGGATTGAGACTGGATTGGAGAGTGGTTGAGAAATTACAGAGGGTATGGGAAAGATCAGAAAGCAAGGTGGGCACCCGACCCTCTTGGCTTTGGGCAGGAGAAGTCTGTGATGGTTGCTTGGCTCCAGCACAGCCTGAAGTACGCTGGGGGCAGGTGGCTGCTGGTTTTCTCCCTCTCCATGGGGCAGTCTGACTGGGTACCTGCCTGCCTGTCTGGTCTCTTGCTTTAGTGTCCTACTGGCGGGAGCAGACCTGAACCTGGCGTTTGGACGGCGCTACGGACTGGTGGGCAGGAACGGGCTGGGGAAGACCACGCTGCTGAAGATGATCGCCAGCCGGAGCCTGCGCATCCCCTCGCACATCAGCATCCTCCACGTGGAGCAGGAGGTGGCAGGGGACGAGACGCCGGCGCTGCAGAGTGTGCTGGAGTGCGACACCACTCGTGAGAGCCTGCTGCGGGAGGAAAGGGATCTGACGGCTAAGGTTAATGCTGGCAGGTGAGATGTTGCTGCTGGGTTTCCAGCCCTTCTATGGCCTCTTGACCACGAGGTCTTGTTCTGAGGTCTCTCCCTTCAAATGAAGGGCTCCGGCAAGGCTGGGCTGCATCTTGCCCACCTTAGTCCTGCTTGGGGAGATCAGCCTCCTCCCCTAGCACTCAAACCCTCACCCTGGTCAGTCCCACACACTCCTCTTTGTCCTGCCCCAGGGGAGAAGGGACGGAAGGTGCCAGGCTGTCGGAGATCTACGCAAAGCTGGAGGAGATTGAGGCAGACAAGGCCCCAGCGAGGTGAGACAGCCCTGTAGGCACCACTATCCGTTGTCATGGCCAGAGCTGGGCAGTGGTTTGGGGCATGGAAGGGTGATGCTGTGGTGCTGGGATCCACCGTGTGGGGACAGGGGCCTCTCCCTACTGCTCTTATTGTCTCTTCTTCTGTCAAGCTCTGCCGGGTTAGGAGTAGTCGAGCTTCCCCAAAAAGCTGGAGGGATTGTTTTTTGCCCCAAATGGCTTGCATTGTTGCTGCTGCACCTCTCAGACCTCCCTAGGTTCCTGGTGTCTGGGGAACATTTCTGGGATGTTGGTGGTAGTGACTCTCTTCCTGTCTAAAGAGTTGAAAACTTCTTGCAAATCTCCTGGGAGTTCATGTGGATGCTTTGCCTTGCTGGGCTGCATTTCCCAGCCAAGTGCTGTTCTTGGGTGTGCAGGAAGTTTTCCTGCGCCAGAATGGCTTTAAACTGTGCAGCAGAGTCCCCTTGATGGCCATGGGTCCAAGACCTCAGACTGTGCTCTGCCATTGGATGCTGTAGCTGGATTCCAGTTCTCTCCCCTTTTTCCCAGGGCGTCCGTCATTCTTGCTGGGCTGGGCTTTAATGCAAAGATGCAGCAACAGACAACCAAGTAAGTTGCCAAGCCCTGGGCATCGAGACAGAAATGGGTCTGGGGAGGTGTTGTTCCTAGCAAGCCCCCAGGCACTGCTGTGGCTGTAAGGGAGGGAAGCCCTGTGGGAGAGCAAGTGTCTATTCCTACCCATCTGATGTGGTCTCCTGCCCTGGGGGTGCCAAGCCACCTGCCTACTGGACCACGGATCTTTGTGCTGTGCCCGAGATCTCTGCAAGGACAAGCTGTCTCTGGGTGACAGCAGAGCCGAAAGGGCCACAGGGGAGTGGGGAGCCTGGCAGGCAGGCAAACACAGAGTTGCTCTGCGTTAAACAGTAAACCCTCTCTGCAACCTCTTCTCTCCTCAGAGAGTTTTCCGGAGGCTGGAGAATGAGACTGGCCTTAGCCAGAGCCCTGTTTGCCAGGTTGGTGTCCAGACCTTCATGCTATGGGGTTAACCCTCCTTGCCGTCTGTGCTGCGAGGTGCAGGGGTGCTGCCTAGGGGTCCTTTCAGCTGAGTTTCTGGGGTTGGGAAGGGTTGGAGACATCACAGCTCTGTGCGTGTGATGAAACGCGCTCTGCACTGACCCTGTGCTCTTTTTGCTTTTGATACCCATGTCTTGTTTTTCCTAGGCCAGATCTCCTTCTGCTGGATGGTAAGTTGATACTGCGAGTCCCCTTCGACACCACTGCTGGGCCTGCCTGTGCCCTTGCTGGGCTTGGGAACGTGCCGTGGCCTTTAGCTGCCTGCTCAAAATAGCCCTGTGTGACGGGGCTGGAGTGGCGGGGCTGTCGGTGCTCCCCTGGCACAGTGGGCAGTGCTGGCCGTGATGTGGGGAAGTCTGCCTGGGCAGCCGCTTTTGCTGCGCTCAGCAGAGCTCTGCTCTGTGCCCCAGCCAGGTGGTCTGTGTCTCATCCTGCCCCAAGCAGTCCCTTTCCCTCGCCTGTCCCCGTGATGCACCCTGGCTACCAGCCCGCACTGGGGGGAGTCCCTTCACCACAGGGGGTAACCCTGGGGCTAGGAGGTGCCCACCCTGGGTGAAGGGTCTGGGTGAGATGCTGCTGCTGGGCATCAGGGTCTGGATACCGGTATGGAGTGGGGGGAGCGTCCCTGTCTGAGCCTTGGACCCCTGTGCCCATACCCCATCACACCCTACATGTGTGAGTCCCCTGAGCTGGGGGAGGAAGGTCCCCACGCAGGGTCTCTTCCTCCACAACACTGATCGCTAGCCTTTCCTGTGTAAAAAAACGTAATCCAGCCATCCTCATCCCTCCTGACCTCAGTGCCTCTCTCCCTTCCCTCAGAGCCAACGAACATGCTGGACGTGAGGGCCATTTTGTGGCTGGAGACCTACCTGCAGGTAGGGGGTGGCGGGAGGCCCCAAGACAGAGTGAGGGCAAGGGATGGAGATGTCCTCCAGGCTGGTGTCTCACCTCGCTGGGTGGTGGGGCTAAGCCCTGCGCTCTGGCTTGATGATGCTCAGGCCTCCCTCTCGCTGTCTCCTCCAGACCTGGCAGTCGACCATCCTCGTGGTGTCCCATGACAGGAACTTCCTGAATGCAGTGGCCACGGACATCATCCACCTGCACTCGCAGCGGCTGGACACGTACCGCGGGGACTTTGAGAACTTCATGAAGATCAAGGAGGAGCGGCTGAAGAACCAGCAGCGAGAGTACGAAGCCCAGCAGCAGTACCGTGAGCACATCCAGGTACTGGGAGAAGCCAGTAGTGCTGGGGCACTCTTCTCCCAGCTGTGTCCCTTTCTCCATGTTTTTAGACCTGTGGATGTGTGTCCTGGTTTCAGCTGGGATAGAGTTAATTGTCTTCCTAGTAGCTGGTACAGTGCTATGTTTTTGAGTTAGGTATGACAAGAATGTTGATAACACACTGATGTTTTCAGTTGTTGCTAATAGTGTTTAGTCTAAAGTCAAGGATTTTTCAGCTTCTGATGCCCAGCCAGCAAGAAGGCTGGAGGGGCACAAGAAGTTGGGAGGGGACACAGCCAGGGCAGCTGACCCAAAGGGGGATTCCATACCATGTGAAGTCACGTCTAGTATATAAACTGGGGGGAGTGGGGGTGGGGGGATTGCCGCTTGGGGACTAACTGGCCATCAGTCGGGGGATGGTGATCAATTGCACTGTGCGTAATTTGTACATTCCAATCCTTTTATTATTACTGTTGTCATTTTATTAGTGTTATCATTTTTAGTTTCTTCTTTTCTGTTCTATTAAACCATTCTTATCTCAACCCACAAGTTTTACTTGTTTTCCTGATTTTCTCCCCCATCCCACTGGGTGGGGCGGGGGGGAAGTGAGTGAGCAGCTGCATGGTGCTTAGTTGCTGGCTGGGGTTAAACCACGACAATGTGGCTGTATTGTTACAGGAGGTTTGGCAGCAGAGTGGAGTGGCTGGGACTGAAGGGGACCTAGGGCTCTCTGATGCTTTTCTCTCTTGTAGGTTTTCATCGACCGCTTTCGCTACAACGCCAACCGGGCATCCCAAGTGCAGAGCAAGCTCAAGCTGTTGGAGAAGCTGTGAGTGCCTGTCCTGCTCCTCTCTGGAGGTGGGGAAGGGGCAGCGCTCATGGGAAGAAAGAGGTTCCCAGGGTGCCTGGGAGATAGAGGGGTGCTTTGGGCGTTGGGTGCTCTGTTCTCTCTAGTCCAGAGGCTTTGGCTAGGATGAGGTGTCACAGAGCTGAAGACTCTCTCTGGGCTTCTGGTGTGGGATCAGACCCCCACTGCAAGGCACCTTGGTTACTTGTCTCCTCTCTTTGCAGGCCAGAGCTGAAACCTGTGGACAAGGAGTCTGAGGTGATCATGAAGTAAGTGTCCCCTGAGCCCTTGCTTGGGAGGGCACCTGGCTCCATTTCTGACATGAGCTCCTCCTGGGTCCTGTCTCAGCTGTGGGACAACCACCCCTTCCTGAGGGCCAGCCTTACTCTGATAGGGAGCCCAGACAAGCCCCTGTGTTCAGGCTGGGTTCCCTCCTGGGGACAAGGCTGCAGATGAGTGTCCCCTTCTTGTGACCATCCTTCCCAGAGGCCCTGCATGGTAGGGAGCCCCCCTTGCCACCTGGGGGGTTGCAGAGGTTGTCCCGGGTGGGGGGGCTGGGAGCAGGGTCTTTGAAGTTCCTGGGCATCTCTCACCTCTTCCTGCCTTCCCAGGTTCCCTGATGGCTTTGAGAAGTTCTCCCCCCCAATTCTGCAGCTAGACGAAGTAGACTTCTATTATGACCCAAGTCACTACATCTTTCGTTCCCTCTCCGTCTCTGCTGACCTGGAGTCCCGCATCTGTGTGGTATGTGGGATCGCAGAGCAGCGGTGGCTGTGAGGGGCCTTGGGAGGGCCAGCTTTGATATTAGGTCAGGTTGCTCAGGTCCTTGTCAAGTTGAAATATGGATATCTCCAGGGAGGGCTATTTGTCCCATTCCTCTGGGTCCCATTGCAGCATTTGACCATCCTCATTTTGAGGAACATTAGAACATTTTTCCTAATACCAGTTAGAATTTGTGACTTATGCCTGTGGTCCATCACCCTTTCACCCGGGCACCTCTAAGAGACTGGGTCCGTCTTCTCTGTAACTCCCTGTTAGCTGACAACAGCAGCGTGTAGTGGGGGCTTCTGCTACATTGGATGGGGCAGCAGAGAGACTCTTACATGCTCGCAAATGAGGCTGGGACCCAGTAGTCCTTAAGCTCGGGGGTTGGGGAGGGAACATCTTCTAGCATTCTGCCTGTGCTGCTTGTCAGTGATAGAAATGCAGCTTCCAGGTAGCTGTATTCACTGGTAGGACTCTCAACCTGCACCCCTCCACTGCGTGATCATCCAAGAGAGCGGAAATTCCCTGATCACTGCCCCCCCTCTCCAAAGTACCTTCATGGGTTTCACGTTCTCCAATGCTGCTGCTGCTTCTCTAGGTTGGGGAAAACGGAGCTGGCAAGTCGACCATGCTAAAGATCTTAATGGGGGAGCTGGCGCCAGTCAGAGGGATCAGACATGCTCACAGGTACCTGGTAGGAAGGGCTGGGGGACTGGGAGGAATGGTGCAGCTGGAGGGCTTCTGGGCTGTGCTTTGGAGTGATGGCTGCCCGAGTAACGGGGATGGGTCCTGCACACCCACGCATATGCCCCCCTTCCTGTAGCTGCAGCTGCAAGTGCCGTGGTTGCAGGGCCTGGTACCAGCTCCTGATCCCTCTTCTTGTTCTGCAGAAACCTCAAGATCGGTTATTTCAGCCAGCACCATGTGGATCAACTGGACTTGAACATCAGTGCTGTAGAGTTACTGGCAAGAAAGTTCCCAGGTGAGTTTTGGAGATCCCAGGAGATCAGGGAGATTGAGGTCTCCTTTGCCATGCATGGAGCACCATTGATTTGTTCCGTGGCCCTGGGCAGAAGGCTCTGTCACGTCTGTGCTTAAGGGACACTGCCTGCTCTGGTTTAACTCCCCACGTCCAGCCAAGTTCAGGACACCAGCTATGAGAAGCAGGGGTAGCTGGCAGGTTGCAGACCTCAGGCTGCTGCTCCACTGTGGCTGGGTTTTGGGGGCAGATGATCCACTTTCCTGCTGGGCACAGAACGAGCACCGGCTCCCCCTTTCCCAGCTGCCAAAACCTCTGGCTCCCTTCTCTACCACTTGACATTACGTGACGCGGTGACAGGGAATTGGGGGCAGCGTCACTTCTGGAGTCAGTCACCAGCCCTGCAGCCACTGTCCTGATTGCGTCAGTCAGATTTTCCCCACAAACCCCCTGCTTGGGAGGCAATTACCTGGAAGCAGCTGCTGAATTCCTCCCACACCGTGCTGGTCTGGCACAGGCTGCCCAGCCACGGCGCCCACCGCACTCACGGTGCCGAGGGCCCTGTGTCACGCTGGGTCTGCCATAGCTGTGTTGTGACACGCTCCTGCAGGGAAGACGGAGGAGGAGTACCGGCATCAGCTGGGGAGCTACGGCATCTCGGGAGAGCTGGCCGTGCGTCCCGTGGCCAGCCTGTCTGGAGGTCAGAAGAGTCGCGTGGCCTTTGCCCAGATGACTATGTCCTGGTAATTTTCTCCCAGATGCTGTTAATTTTTGCATGGCTCCATCCCTGGAGCCTGCTTCACCGGGAGGAAGGCGGGCACCCAGGGACTTTCTGCTGCCCCATGGAAGCCTTGGGACTTTTGTGGGGAGGGAGGTTGTCATCCTGGGGGGGACTGTGTGGAAGGAGGCAGGTGGCTTTCTCCTACTGCTTTGGGCACACCGGGATGAGAGGTGTCCCTGAAGCTGGGTGATGCTGATCTTGGGGCCAGACACATGCCGACGGCTCTGGCTCTAAGTGGCTAAAGCAGCTGCCTGTTGGAGGTCGCTGCAGTAGGACGGGGTGTGGACCCAGCCCAGGCCCGTTCCAGTGCATGCTCAGAGCTGTCGTCTCTTCCAGTCCAAACTTCTATATCCTGGATGAGCCGACAAATCACCTGGACATGGAGACCATCGAGGCACTGGCAAAGGCACTGAATAAGTTCCGGGTAAGGTTCCTTCAACAAGATCTCCCATTTTTCTAATGCTTCCTGCAGCCTCCAGCTCTCGTTACTTGGTATTATTGCCAGAGGTGGGTGGTCAAATATCAGTGGTGGCTTCAAGTCCAGGACAGAATTTGGGAAGTCAGTCACATTTCTGCCTTAGCCGTCTGTCCTGGTGGTTTGTTTCACTTGCTGGCTTTGTCTAGGGGTTGCTGAGAGAGGCAACAGCAGACCAGAGAGCACTTTGTCCCCCATCTTGACCAGTAAAGTACACCCTGTGGCTTCTCACGTGCTGCATGTGGCACTCAGCCCTGCCTTGGGGCTGCTGCGATCAGCCTGGTTCTCACTGGTTTGTAGTTTCTCTCAGGTTGGTGCAGTTTTCCTGTGAAAGACAAGCTTAACTGAGGTTGCTTGGGGCCTTGTCCAGCCACCTTTTGACTGTTATTGACTCCACCTGGAATCTCCATCCTTGAAGTTGTCAGAGACCTGGAGAGCCAGTAACAAACGCTGCACTTGCCTTCCAGGAGGGGAGGCTAAATACCTTACTGCTGCACATGCCTCCTCCGTACGTGGTCTGTCTGTCCCCACAAAGGAAGGAAAGGCTGGGATTAGGTCCCTGCCAGTGGAATATTGTTCAGTTTTCCCTGGAGCGGATGGAAACCTGAAGTCCTGGGCACAGGCTGGGCAGGGGCGCAGGATCTCCACGTCACCAGCGCTGGGCCCTGGGTTGTGGTCCACTAAGTTCCTGTTTTTTCCCTCCTTGTGCATTGGCAGGGTGGTGTAATTCTGGTGTCCCACGACGAGCGCTTCATCCGCCTGGTATGCCAGGAGCTGTGGGTGTGCGAGAACGCCACCGTGACCCGCATTGAGGGTGGCTTCGACCAGTACAGAGACATCCTGAAGGAGCAGTTCCGGAAGGAGGGTTTCCTATAAGGGAGGCGGGAGCCGGACTGCGCCGGGGGCTGGAGCTTGAAGCTCGGCCGCTTCGGCATCCATCCCAACTGTGCCTGGCAGAGCGCTGAGGAGGCTGCTGCCCGCATGGACCGTCAGCCATGCCATCAAACTGCCACCTGAACTGCTCTCCCCTCCCGGGGCCGGGCGGAAGGACAGCGAGGGAGCGGGAGCCCGGTGCTGCGCGTGGCCAGGGGGGCACGCCAGGGGCTCTGCTGCTGGCCGAGGCTGTGCCCGGCGCTGGGCCCACTGGAAAGGCTGTGCCTGGAGCTGCTGCTTTGCCGAGAGGAGGGAAGGGGGTGTTGTGCCCCGACTCCCCCCCCCCCCCCCCCGGTTTAACTCCGTGCTCTGGAGGGCAGGAGAGGAGCTGTTCTCCATGTTCCTTTGCTTCCCCCTCTGCCTTTTTTTTTTCTTTTTTCTTTTTTTTGGTTTAACTGGCTGAACACTAGTCGGGCTCCATCACATGCCACCATCCCCTCTGCCGCCCTGGAGGGAAACGAGGCCTTTGCTGCTAAAAGTAACCCCTGCCTCTTCCCCCAGCCCCTGAAAACTGGGGCTCGCTTGGTCTGTCCTGCCCAGGGGCTTGCGTTCCTAGTGCGGAGGGAGCCAGAGCCCGGCTCTGCCTGGGCCCAGCTCCCTGCTCCCTTCCCCACGCTGCTGCCGCCGCCGCTGCCTCACCTCGCTGCCTGCCTTTCCTTTCAAACCCGCCCTGGGGTGGGCTGCCCGGGGGTGGGCTGCCCGGCACCCCTCCCTGCCCGCCTGCGCAGAGGTTGCAGTGTAAATAAACCCAGGACGCAGTGGGTGCAGCGCTCTCCTTTCCTTGGGGGGGCTTGAATTTGGGGGGGGGGTGTCCTTCTGGTGCCTGAGCGTACAGCTGCTCGGGGGGGAGATGGTTTCTAGTTGGGTCTCCCCAAATTAAATGGCTCCTCAGGGGTAGGGGGGAGGCTGGTGCCTGGTGGGGGGGGCTCTTGGGCGGGCATGGAGCCGGGGTTGGGTGTCAGCTCTGGCGGGCGCTGGATCCGGTTGTGGTTTGGGGGCTGCGGAAAACCGGGG